AAGCGAAATTCCACCTCCCACCACCGAAAGTTCGACTCGATCGCCGACAGTGTTACGAACCGCCAGTCACGTCAAGAAACCCATATTACCGCCAACATGCCTCCCAAGCAGAAGGTTGCCCGCGCTCCCCAGGAGAACATCCAGCTCGGACCCCAGGTCCGCGAGGTGCGTGCCCAGCAGACATTGGAAATCGCGACGACATGGACTGACAGCAGCGCAGGGTGAGCTTGTCTTCGGTGTCGCCCGTATCTTCGCTTCATTCAACGACACCTTCGTCCACATCACCGATCTTTCTGGCCGCGAAACCATCTCCCGTGTCACCGGTGTAAGTGCAGCCATACCGATTGCGTGCGACAGCCGCTGACCAGTACGAAAGGGCATGAAGGTCAAGGCCGACCGTGACGAGAGCTCTCCCTACGCCGCCATGTTGGCAGCCCAGGACGTTGCTGCCCGCTGCAAGGGTAAGATGATTGGAATGGATAATCTGGAACGGGAACAGGAGCTAACATATGCAGAACTCGGTATCACCGCTCTCCACGTCAAGATCCGTGCCACCGGTGGTAACGGCACCAAGACTCCCGGCCCCGGTGCCCAGTCCGCCCTCCGCGCTCTTGCCCGTGCTGGTATGCGCATCGGACGTATCGAGGACGTTACTCCCACCCCATCCGACTCCACCAGGAGGAAGGGTGGTCGCCGTGGTCGTCGTCTCTGAGCATGTGCGCAAATCATTGGCTCAGTGGTGGAATATGGCATGGCATGGTATGCACGATTTATGGTTTCATGACCACAATCAAATAAAGTCGCGGGGAACGGCGAATCGCCTGGTCTCCTTGTTGTACTTGGCTTCTCCTACGAGATAGTCAAGCTAAATCAACAGAACCCTTTTTAGTTCGAAAAGAGTTCCCGACAATCAAGTGCTTACTGCTGTGTTGATTATGAGGTTTACACATTACGATTACGACTGCTTTGGGTATTACGTGACGGACAATATCAAATGTCGACGACTTGGATAGGATTGCCCAACTTGCCTGTATTTCCACACGTCTGGGCTGCATTGACCATGATAGTATTTGGACTCTGCCCGCCCCACACGCGATCCCAGAGCAGCTCTCGCATGCCACGGTACGCGACCCTGACTACATTCCACCAAAGCTTTGGATTCAGGATACCTCGCGTCCACTTGGACTTGATTGAAAGCCCTCGCACATATGCATCGTGAGCTCTGTCCCACCAAACTACAGTTTGCCCTGCGCCCCAATGCACATGGCCGAAGACGTGTAGTGTTGGCTTCACTCGCCTGACCTCAGCAAGGAGGTGCTCGCAGCCGATCCCCGTCGGCAGGGACAGATCCAGATGGTATTTCGGCGGTGTATGTGTGACTAATATATTGATATTTTCAGGCACAGTTTCTGACCACGCGTCTCGACCCCTTTCATACTGGAAGGCATGCACGTTCATGTCTCCACACGCTGGTATATGTGGTGCGCCGTAGATTCGTATCCTTCTCTGACCTGGCTCCGCTGCGAGCAAGGGTGTGGTAACATCCATCTGATCGCCGTCTTTAGGCTCAACCTTGATCGTTAGGCTCAACCGTCGGTGCTGCAGGTAGTGTACCCTCTTCCAATTGAGCCTTCCAGTCCTGTGCTGTTCGGACAGCGATGGTCGTGTCCTTGGATCCAGAAAAGTATCATGGTTCCCACTGATCACTACAATCTCTCTATGCGGGAGCGAGCTCAGCCAGTCTATTTGTTTCTGTATTTCCGCCACACTTCCGTCATTTGTCATGTCACCAGCGTGGATGAGCAGATCGCCTTCCGGTACATCTTCCGGTATCAAATTGTGCGTATCGGATATGCAAACGACTCGAACGGGTGGGCGTTGTAGAGGCTTCGGGGTTGAGCGCAGACATGTGATAAGGTGGTATGCATGGTAGAGGAGTAGCTTGACAGGAGCTCGGAAGAAGAGGGCGATGAAGGGCGTTGGCTCGAACTCTGATGCGGGGCGATACCAAGGATTCAGATGCTCGAGAAGCATTTCCGGGGGGCCAGATGCCCGTCGTAGCTCTGGTGACCGGTTCGCCTGTCACTGGTTTGGTGGTGAGCAAATGGGTGGCAGCATGCGACGCGTCGACCAGGGTCCATGTTCGCGTGGCTTCTTAGCGTGGCTGTGCGGGCCGCGGCTTTCCTCGAGGCATACACCCGACAGCCTATCACCTCCAGGTGATGTCTCTGCTGCACCTGACGAGTTCAGCAGAACGCTCCTCAGCCACGATTGCAGCCTTCGTCACGTATCGCAAAACGCCATCGCGCTGTTACCCTTACCGGACCCCACTATTCCAGCCTCCTGGATTGGTCTGGGATGTGATGACGGCCTTCAGCTCGAGGCCACGGGGCAGTGTTGGTTACAGATCAGGTTGCGCGCCTGCATCGCGGCGTGCTATGCTCTCATGTCGCCATGAAGGTTTAGTAGAAATATCAGCCTTCTCGCTGCTTACCCTTGAGTAATTCTCCAAGTCTGCGTTCATCTCATTGCTTTCCTCTCTCGGCGAGACCGTCCAGCTGTCCCTTTCAAAGGTTACTCCGAACAGCCTTAGAGATGGCAGAGTTGGCTATCGGAGGTGTATCCTTCTTCTTCCAGGTGTTTGCGGGATGTATCCAAGGTTGGCATACCCATTGACCTACGCCTGAAGATGCATTAATAATCTTGATTAGGTTACGAACTGATCGCAGATGCTTGTCATCTTCGCAAAGACTGCCAAGCGCTTCTGGTCAACTTCAAAGTGGAAGAACATCGACTTCTCAACTGGGCAAAGCTTGTACAGCTCGATTATCGAGACGACAAACTGGTCCTGAATCACATGTCGAAAGGCCTCATTATCAACATCATGGAGCAACAACAAAAGCTTCTCTTCTCATTCGGCCGACTAGACAAGAAGTACGAGAGACTTACAGAGCCTCTCCTAGAGGAAGCAGCTGAAGCATTCGTCCTACAAAATTTTGATCGCCTGATCGAAGACGATACCAACGGCTCTGGTGAAGGGAATGCAAGGTCTGTCCGGTTCCCGCCTACTGACGAGCTGGTAAAAATGTCCCTCAAATTCGTGCAACAGTTCAAGGATGTACCAAAGAGGCTCAAATGGGCTGTATTCGATCACCTCAAGATGGAGAAGCTAATCGCGAGACTGGCCGACTTCAACGACAAGATGCACGAAGCGCTCGACAAAGCTCAAGTAGACCTGCTCATCGATATGCAGACGCGTACAAATGATCAAATAGTCTTGCTGAACCGGACGATGTCGCACATGGTTCAAATCTACCAATCCCAGCAATCAGAACAGATTGGCTTTCGAAGGGCTTATTCACTGATAGAGATGGAAGATTCCGAATATGATGGTATGATGGACAGTGGTGCCGTCGCAGCTCGTGGTGCCGCCCGTCAGCCTCTTGCTGCTTTAGCCCAGCAAAACTTCATTCACCTTGCTATCGAAGACTCTCACGAAGATCTTACCACAAGCTATGCAGAAAAGATCAACATGCCAGATCTTCCAAAGGACATTCGTGATACCCAGCTCCAGTACATGGACATACGCCCTAAGCTAGGCAGTCAATTTCCCCTGGAGATTGATGAAGGTGTACGCACGGAGGCATACTACAAGAACACACCTGTGTGGATAGAATGGAAATCACCCGATACCACGGGTCCCATGCAGCAGGATGGTGCTGTGGACGCCAAGATCCACGCTCGCGTCAAGAAACTGGCCGCCTTACTCAGTAAGCACAACAGAACAGTCCGGTTTAGAGCACCCTTCTGCCGAGGCTACTTTATCGATGAGGACGAAGGACGTTTCGGGCTAGTCTTCGAAAAGCCCGCGTCCATCCCGGCGGACACTGAACCGACATCTCTACACGCACTCATCGCAAACCGCGAGAACGATATACCTTCGCTCACTGACCGTATCACACTCATGAGACTTCTTACCGAGACAGTTGAACGTCTCCATGCGGTGGATTGGCTTCACAAGGGCCTACGCTCGGCCAACATCCTCCTCTTTCCGAAGAAGGGAGGAAGAGTTGAAAACGGTCAGGTCACGCACGGCGAGGTCAACTACGCGGATCCTCTGATTAGTGGTTTCGACTATTCTCGTCCGGCCACCAGCGATGATATGACTGAACGTCCTCTTGACAATCCCGCTGCAGACATCTATCGTCATCCGTCTGTACAGCATAGAGGAAATCGCGAAGATGCCGGCGGTCGTGAGTCTTACAAGAAGTCTTTCGACCTTTACTCGCTCGGTATCGTACTGCTGGAGATCGCTTACTGGAAAACCATTGACCAGATTCTGTCTATCGATCTTGAAAAGGCGCGGCCTAAGCATACGTGGGCTGTGGAGAAAAGGTTACTACAGACGGAACCACAACATCTACGGGGCGTGAAGAGTTATCTAGGTAACACGGTGGAGGGTGTTATCAGGGCTTGTTTGCAAGGGCCTACCGCGTTTGGTCTCGATGAGAATGCAGATGAGAAGAGAGAGGTTGTTGCTGCCCAGTTACAGGAGGCATTTGGAGAAAAGGTCGTGAAGAAGTTCGCGTGTATGAAGGGCCTTTAGGCATTCTCTCTCTCATTTATCGCTAGGACACCATGAACATATCTGACCCATGCTTGTTACGTCTATGCCCCATCATGAAATGATGTGAATGCGCTTGATCATACATGTGCTCCGGTGTGCTTGTCTCTTGTCGCTGTTGTAGTCAACATGTGAAGCTAGACTGGCATGTTCGGCGGCGAGATGCACAGTACTCTTTGGGACCTGCAACAAACAAGGTTCTGGTTTAGGGGTTGAGAGTTGTCATTGTATCGAAGAGGATCCTCCAATGCCGCTATTTCATCCATCGTCAATCATATATATGTCCATGAGCAGTCGCCCATGATGCCATCCATCGCTCCGCAACTCGGTTATGCAAATATCCCTAAAGTACAAACAGGCTCGAATCGAAGGCGCTTTACATTCCGTGCTTCTTCAGGTACTCGCCGAGCTCAACTACGGAGTTGAAGGCGTTGGGAGTCTGGATGGTGTCGGGGTGGTGGGCGATGATGACGGCTTGGGTAGTCTTGAAAGCGACGATGCCCTCTTTTCCCTGGGGTTGTTGTCAGTGCTTGAACACTTGATGGTGGGCAATGTCTGGCACCTACCTTCTTCGCCTTGAGCGAGTCGTCGCTTGCCTCGATGGTCATGTACTTGACACCGTTGACCTTGACACCTTCCGAGATGACCTTCTTGGGCTCTGACTTGTCGTTGAAGGATTTGGCGATGGCGGCCCTTTCCTCAGCGGACAGCTGTAATTGGTCAACACCAATCTATTGTTTATGCGCCACCGGAGCTTTGATTCTGGAGTGCTCGCTGTGTCCGGCGCGTATTGTATCGGACGACTTACCGAGAAGTCGGCGGAGGCGGCCCAGGCAGTTGAGCCCTCGATGTCGCAGATGAGGGCCTTGTCGATGTTACCAGTGCCGACGAGGCTGTGATAACGTTAGTCATGGACAGGTGATAGATTGGGAGGCTTGATGTACCTGGTGTCAACGTATTCTGCGCCCAAAGTTAGCCAGGACCTTCCAAACTCGACGCCTCGAGCTGCTCACCTTGCCAGGACATGGTTGCGGAGGGTTGATGTGCGTGCTGTGGAAGCTTGTGGTGATGGGAAGATGAAGAGGGATGCGGCGAAGTAGATGCAGGTACTTTTGACTAAGCAGAGCAAGAGGGTAAATGCGGTGAGGGTGTTCAAGGCTGCGTTGTTGGGCTAAAGTTGCGATTTGATAGTGGGGCTGTTTTGACCCCGCCTCTCGCGATGAAATCTAACGGACGCAATTCACTCCTCCAATTCCAGCACGCAAACCTCTGAGCTTCTAATCTGACGACCCGTCACGCGTCCTCCTTGCGCTATCATGCAGCTGCTTACTTGGTGGGGGTCACCACTGCCCTCGATGCCTAACGCGACGGCACTGAGCGCGCCGCATTTAGCTATGCCCACCGCGATACCCGCCTAGTATCCGCCGCGCTCTGGGGTCGAGGACGGATAGCGGGTCAGAGTGCTGGCAATTCAGCAGTCGATCCAACAGTCACGCAATAGCGGACACTGGAACCGTCCGAGTCCAGGTCCTTCACAGGTCTACTATTTAGCCCGTCTCTGGCCTGTTTGGAAGCAAACGTTTAAATTGCAGACATCACACAATCGAGCTCCGCGGCAGATATGAAAACGTATTAGCTGGAGCTTGAGGGACGACTGGCTTTTCAGCATGCACCTTGTGCAATTTGTACAAGCTGGCGATTCATTTCTCTTCCTACATTGCCGATCTATTCCCTGTCGTGGCCCTTGACTATGTGATGGCTGTTTGCGAACACGTCCCGCTAGTCACGTGCCAGCGCTAAGACGAGCTTGAAGCTTGGAGCTACCATCCAAAAGTTACGTCGCGTTAGACATGACCAACAAAGTAACTACAAGCCCAACCACCGAGTGTACATTGAAGAGCACGCAATAGGACACTGCTACGACTGAAATTGCGCGACAGCCAAGACATGCCATCTCGTTCTCCATCTCCCGCACGCTCGCGCACGCGCAGCCCTTCTCGCGACCCGTCGCACACAAGATCACCCAGCCGCCCTCGGTCGGCGCAGTCAGGCTCGCCGCGCCGCTCCGTCACCCCTCGCTCGCCTACACGGTCTCGTTCAATTACTCGATCGCGCTCGCCGATATCACCGTCTCCACGGCGCAATGGGCGACGGAGCTACACACCAGAAAGCAGATCGCGCTCGAGAGGTAGAAGTTATTCCCGGAGTTTGACTCCAAGAGATCGGTCGCCAGCACCCAGAAGCGCAAAGGTAAGCATACTCCCTGTGCTAGACGCAACTTCCAGAGCTGCCTTGCCTCAGCCTTCCTGCACCAGCACGCTGACCCACCAACAGATCGTAGTTGAAGCCTTGACCAGGAACGTCAAAGAAGACCACGTGCGCGAGATATTCGGAAAGTACGGTGTCATCAAGGAACTCACCATGCCCATGAACCCCACCTGTATGTTTCGCCCTACCTCCCCACAGAGCAGGACTGACTATTGAACAGTCAACATCAATCGCGGCATAGCCTACATTCTCTACGAGGAGATCGACGACGCCGAACGCGCAATCGCGAAGATGCACGACGCACAATTAGATGGAGCCAAGATCCAAGTTTCCATCGTCCTTCCCCGCCGTCGTTTCTCACAGACACCTCCGCCCGCGCGTAGAGGCCCGCCGCCACGCGACGACTACGAAGGTGGCTATGGGCGCGGTGGACGGGGACCGAGGGGCGGAGGCACACCTGGCGCGTACAGGCCACCACCTATGGATGGCCGTTATCGATCTCCACCGCGTCGAATGTCGCCCGATCGAGGACACTGGGGTCGGGGCAGAGGCGGAGGCGGTCGTGGTGGACGAGGGGCCTACGGAGGACGGCCACGGTCGTACACACGTTCTCGCAGCCGGTCACCACGACGAAGCCTATCGCGCTCTTCTTACAGTCGCTCGCCATCCAGAACACCACCAAGACGAAGTGGGGGAGGAGGCTATGGCAGGCGGGACAGTCCACCAAGGAGGGGAGGTCGCGCGGGTGCAGGCGGCGGAAGGAGGAGTCCAAGCTATAGCTCCTATGGCAGCGACCGGAGTCGAAGCAGAGACCGCAGATGAGAGACGCAAGATTGTCTTCATTGTCGGCTGGAAAAGCCTAGAGGCATCCGCACAGTCAAGTAGGAGCTCGGTTGGACTATTCGGTTGGCCAGACCAATGGTATACATTAATTGAAATCGGTCGCAGGCTCAGTTGGGCGAAGTCCATCTTGCCTTGAAAGAAGTTTCCTACATGCCCACGCGTCTTCGCAATCAATCAGATCATCTTCAACTGAAATCCTGCTCCCTTCTCTTCTTCCTCTCTGCCCTTGAAAATACTACTAAAATCCACATTGCCCTGCATGCCGGGCGCCTCTCCTCTCTTTGGCGCATTCGGACTCTTCTTCCTTCTCCTCTCCTGCCCGGCCTTGCTTGGAAACGTGGGAAACATCTCGGTCGGTTTCGGCTTGGGTTGCTCTCTGAAGTAAGGATGCTCCAGTACTTCTTTCGCTGTAGGCCTATGGTCTGGATTCAGGGAGAGCAACGAAGAGAGGAGTTCAATGCCAGACGCTGTCAAGAAGGGAAATTTTGCACGGTTGAAGCCTGGGGCGTTGCGGTGGTCGCGCGGTAGCTTTAGTGATTTGGAGTTGGGCAGGCGGTAGAATTGTGGCCAAGACTTCTCTGATGGGAGACCACAAAGGGAGAAGATGAGTGAGAGCTCGTCGACCTCGTTCTTGCCTTGTAGTAACGGCTCTTTTGCAAGCAGTTCGCCGAATATACAGCCTACGCTCCACATGTCGACTTCCGTCCCGTAATCTCGAGTCCCTAGTAGAAGTTCAGGCGCACGATACCATAGCGTGACGACCAGTTGTGTGAGGGGTGCGTTCGCCGGCGGGATGTATCGTGCCATACCAAAGTCTGCAAGCTTCAGCTGGCCACGGTTGTTGAGTAGGATGTTTGATGTCTTGAGATCGCGGTGCATGATGAAGTTCTCATGCAGATAGCCGACGCCAGAGACCAACTGTCGTAACAATGTCTTGACTTCACTTGCCATGAATGGCTCACTCATGTCTTCTTGTAATGTCTTGAGGTCATGTTCGAGGAAGTCCATGACCAGGATACATTCTTGCGGGTCGTCACCAGATAGAACCTCCAGAAGATCGACGACATTGGCATGTCTGCAGCGTTGCAGGATGGAGATTTCTCGTAGCGCGGTGATAGGGAAACCGTCTTGGTTGTAGTCCATTTTGACTTTCTTGTGGGCGACCACGGAGCCTGTAGTGATGTCGCGCGCTCGTGAGACCCAGCCGTATGAGCCTTCTTCGATCTGATTGAGGGTTTCGAAGTTGGAAATATGTCGACAAGGGTTCCAAGCTCCGCCTTGAAATCGCAGGAGCTTCCTCTCGGTCTCTTCTTCTTTGGGCTTTGCGGCTCCCTCGTCATCGTCGCCTGTTGATAATCTCCTGCGCTTTGCAGGTCTCGATTCCGCCTCTTGCGTTGTTCGTGAGGCTGCCTCCACCTCTTGCTGTTTCTGAAGCTTCAGGCGTTTCTTCTCTTCTTTCTCTTTCTTCCGACGCGCTTCCTCGGCTTTGTCTGCTTCATCATTTGCCCATCGTGATGCCATAGCTCTTTCTCTTTCCTTTCTGACCAAGAGACCGACTTCCACTAGTATCTATGTGCAAAGGCGTGTATTGAGGTTAAGTCGGTTTGGTTTTCCCAGAATGACCCGGTTGGTGTGTTTCTGTGTAGATGGCGCTGGTTGGACCGATAGCACGTGTGAATCGTTAAATGGTGGTCATAGCTTCGTTCACGTTGGCGTTCCGATCTAAACTTTCTGTAGTTCCGAACGCGCCAACGTCATGGAGCTTCGATAAACAAGACCGACATGAGGACCAAACCTCTGAACCTACTGCGGACAGCGACACAGTGTAGTCGATCGGTACCACGACAAACGTCGATCCGAATAACGAGATGTGCCTCCCGGTGGTCGTCGACTTCTGCCTCTACATCTTCCGACTCGGGACGACAATGGTCGACGCCGCTGGCGAAGACGCTGGCTGAAGCTATTACAGTATGAGTCCCCTTCCCAGTATGAAAGCAAGTCTAAGATTAGCTTCAGACGACAGGTCCAATCTCGGTAGCGGCGTATATGCGACAATGCCTCACTCACCCCGAAGGCGGTTACTACACAAGACAAACATCGACTGGACAGGATCAATTTGGCACAAAGGGTGACTTTGTGACATCGCCAGAGATTAGCCAGGTATTTGGCGAGCTTATTGGTATATGGCTATACGCAGAGTGGCTTGCCCAAGGAAGGAAAGACAAGGTGCAGATAATCGAGGTTGGGCCCGGACGAGGAACGCTAATGGACGATGTACTGAGGGTATGGTGCTCTGCCAATAGTAGAGAATGCGAAGCATGCTTACAGGATGGCAGACCATATCTAGTTTCAAGGCTTTCACAAATAGCATCGAGGCTATTTATCTCATCGAAGCATCACCTTACCTACAGAAACAGCAAGCAAAGTTGCTGTCTGACACCGATGATCTGAAGAAGAGCGACATTGGTCTAACCGCACAATGCAAGTACATGCCTTCCTGCAGGATCGAGTGGTGCGAAGACATAAGGCTGGTGCCAAAAGGTACGCGCTCGACTCTACTCTCTTCATCAACAGAGTACTGACAACATACACAGAGCATACGGCAGCGCCTTTCATACTAGCCCACGAGTTCTTTGATGCACTTCCAATCCACGTCTTCCAGAATATCTCTCAATCTTCGGTGCCTGCCTCATCGACCATCATCACGCCAACCGGCCCTATCAAACCCAAGCACGGCGTGACAACCCCCAAGAATACCTGGCATGAGCTGGTTGTTTCGCCAACTTCGCCGTACTCGGATATGGGCGCAAGTGGCTCTTCGCCAAAGAAAGGGGATGAAAAATTGGACTTCGAATTGACCGTTTCGAAGACACCGACGCCACACTCCTTATACCTGCCGAAGTTGTCTGATCGCTACAAGAAGCTAGAGAATACTCCAGATGCGATCATCGAGATCTCGCCTGAATCTTTTGCCTACGTATCTGACTTCGCTGTACGGATAGGCGGCAGCGCTCCTAAGCCTAGCAACACCTCGGCATCCCATACTCCCTCGAGCAGAAGTGCTCCTGTTGAGGAAAGCTTCATAAAAGCGCAGCCGTCTGGTGCAGCTTTGATCTTGGATTATGGACCTTTGGATACTATCCCAGCGAACACTCTCCGGGGCATTCGCTCACATACCACTGTCTCGCCTTTTGCATCGCCCGGTCTGGTAGATCTCTCGGCTGATGTGGACTTTCTCGCCCTTGCAGATGCAGCTTTAGATGCTTCTCCGGGTGTTGAGGTTCACGGACCCGTTGAACAGTCTTTCTTTTTATCGACAATGGGCATTAAGGAGCGCGCTGATCGCTTACTTAAGGCTGCTAAGGATGAAGATACGCGAAGACGCTTGGAAACAGGCTGGAAGCGACTTGTCGATAGAGGGCCAAACGGCATGGGTAAAACCTACAAAGCTATGGCTATCGTGCCCTATAAGAAGCAAGGCCCAGTCCGACGGCCGATCGGGTTTGGCGGAGACATCGTTGGCTGAACAATATGATAGCTACCAAATCAACAGTTTTAGCCTTGGACATTAGGTGATAGGCGTCTGATGACTAAATACGATATGTATTCCCATACTGCGTGCCGCAGTTGATTGCATCCGATTGATCGATCGAATTTCTTCAATGTTAGTTCCACTCGACTGGCTCTCACGATGGAATGATACTTCGCATAGCCATCCTACCATGATTGATGCGCAATACTTCCATCACCGGTACCCTACGTAAGAGAAAGACCATCCTATGGGTACACTCATCTTGCAAGGAAGTCTTGGTGTCTTTGAAGGACAGCATCGAGGAGAGGATTCCTTCTGATCGTAGAAGGAAAGAACAACGTCACGGATGAATGGACGAGTGCTCTGCACATCAATGATGTTAAGACAATTTACTCCTGAAAACTCCAAAAGAATAGAGTTTAAATCGTATAAGGGGGCATAAAAAGGGAAGAATCTACATAAAAAACATACTAATAAAAATCGTTAGAACACACGCTGGCATCGCTAGCCCTCCGACGTCTTCCCTTGCCCAATATCATACCCACATTCAGTGCACATCCCTGAGGCACCTCGTCGTCTTCAGGCTCACCCCGCTCCCAGTCCTCAATCTCATCTTCAGCAAGTTCTTCATCGATCACGTCGAAACGCGCAGAATTGAATCCTGCATCCCCGAAAGCAGAATACATAGACTGGCGCTGCGGCTTCGGGAAGACAGAAGCGTTGTCATCCTCATATTCCGCGAACGGTTCGGGGTCAGGATGGCTAGATAGAAGCTGTCTGTACTTCTCCACGCGCTCTTCTTGCGTCTCAATGTGGTCATAGATCGGGTTGTCGAGAGGATCTATGTATCCCGTGCGAGAGGATGGGCCGCCGGTGTAAGACGCGATCGTGTGCGCTGTGGTTGCGAGTGATCGGCGGGAGATCATTGAAGCGGGAGGATTGAGGAAAGAGTTCTCCTGCCTGGTAGAACCCGCGACTGACGGTTGTGGCACAGGCCTGCGTCTGATCTGTAATGGAGCTGGACGGTCGTCCGAATTGTGGTGCCGAGGAAGGCGAACGGTAGGGAGGCTCATGGTATCATCAGGCGGGATAGTCCTTTCTGGATTATGCGAAGCCATTGACTCGTTATAATGCCTTGACGCGTTTGTCGATGAGCGAGAAGGTATGAGTCCAGGCTGGTTTCGCAAAGCCGGATGGACATCTTCTTGGTTGTGAGGAATAGTGTATACCCGCTTACGCATACCGGGCATCTCAAAACCAAGATCCTCGGCCTGTGACTTGAGCTTAGTGTCTGGAGGCCGGGGATTAGGACCCAGTTTGGGGTCGAACAGGCTCGGATCTGTTAGTTCTTGTTCTCGCCGCCGTCTTACAGTTCTGGTCGAGGCAGAACGGCTAAAAGTGGGCTGATGAGCAGGGACGGTAGATGAACCTAAACTTTGACAGGGCATCGGACCGACGGGAGTTTTCTGCGTTCTCGTGCGGCTATGTGCACGAAGGTGGCGGTGTTGCTCATGCTTCCACTGAGCCCGAAGATGTTTGAGATCCATGCCCAGATCGCATGCTCTTAACATATTGCTTTCTCCACTCGCCTTCCTGACCCAGTAACGCACGAATCGAAGACGTTTGCTCTTAGTGCTGTCCCAGCCAGCAACGCTACGGATCGCATCCATTGTCGTGAACGCCTTGCTGTTGAAGCGACCGACCATACCGGCGAACAGAGCAAAAAGAACATCCGAATCTGATCCCATCCGCGCCATCATACAAGCCGGGCATTGGTCTGCCTGATAGTGCCACTTCGATCCGCACTGAATCGGCTCATGACCAGGGGGAGCGGAAGCACCCGAACTAAAGTTGGGTTGCCACATCCGTAGCACAGGTTCTAGTTGACGGACTTTCAACTTCTGATCCGTCGTTAGAAGGCCGTGGGTCATTACAAGTGGATAGAGAAACTTGCCGATGGCGCCATCGTATTCGTGACGGATCCATTTGAAGATGTCATTGACAAGATTTTGGTTTAGGCCCTTGTGTGTCGTACACAGGTTCGTTGAGCCGAAAGAGAGCCGCGAAGCGCGTAGCCGGCTAGGAAGCCGTTGTATAGCTTCCTTGGTATGTTTACGATATAGCGCTTCCTTGCGCTCATCGCGCAAATCATTGGGAGTAGGGACATGCCGAAAAATACGGACAAGTCTCTTCATGTCGCTGTTGTGGAGCCGGCGAGTCTCCATCCTGTGTAGGAATGAAGGCATCGTGAAATGTTGTGAGATGTCTTTGTGGTTGTAATGCATTGTGGGTGCCTTGTGATAATGGTTGTGTTTGGTCTGTTGTAAACATGGAGGAATGTGGAGAGGTTAAGAACACGCACGGGACGTTTGCAATGAGACAGAGTGGTTTCATGATGCAGCGTATATTGCGAGTGATAGGGCGCGGCTGTGTAGTCTGTGAAAGTTATCAGTGTGTATATATCATAGGACAAGCGAAAGAGGAAGAAACAACTCGAACTCAATAAAGTATCAGTAGAGATACCTGCTCATATGATCTGTTGGAGTGAAAGACAGTATCGGTGAGACACTCATCAGTAAAGCAGCTAAGGCTGATTGGCACCAACGATCGAAACAGCGCAACGTGAAAAGCCGTCGCTAACGAGCGAAGGTTGTAGTATTTTGAATGGGAACTCAGATTCGATGTAATCCAACCGTCCAGCAAACGCCGTCCCAGAATCGTACAGTCCGTGAATGAATGACGACAAGATACAGGCCGTATTTCAGAAATAGCAGGAGAATATGCACCAGTGATGCAATGCAGCGGATGTGATAGAACCATCCGGAAGTTATACACCCGAGACTATACATTACCTGCTGCAGCAGCATGATGTTTGTTTACACATAAAAAAAAAGTACAGATTAATGTGAGCTTTCCAACCCCAGAACATTGGCTCTCCTGCCGTGCAGGTTTTGATTGACCTTGTTCGTCAAATCTTTGAAATTTGTGCCAGCCGTTGATGAGATGCTGCTAGCCTTCTTGCGCGAGATGCGAGGTGTCGATGCGCCTTGTGGCACTACACCCTCGTCCTGTGTCAGGCCCGAGGCTGCCGCGGTCGACATGGGTACTGCAGTAGCTTCGTTCTCTTTTTCTTGGTCGACCTTCTGCTGTGCTGTAAGACGAGCACGCTCATATTTGGCAGTCACATCGCCTTTGTACATTGTCCCGCCAAGTCGGTCGAGGTATACGAAGAAAGGTTGCGAAAAGTTGGTCTTGATACCCCAGCTCTGGTGATGAATGTCGTGGTAAGCGGCATTGTTGGGGAAGATCCAGTGGATAGGGTCGTAGGGGAATGCGTAACCGCCGTGATCAAGCACTGTCTTGATGGTAGAGCCAGTGAAGAACCACATCGACTGTCGCATTGTCATGCCGGTAAGCAGATAGCTCAAGCCAGCACCCAGGGTATCGAGCGCGAACCCTTCGATCGGGTGGTTGTACAGAGCGCCGTAGGCATATGGCACATAGAGACGGTGATGCCGCGAATGGAACGTTACTGCGTGGGTTAACAAAAGTCGAAGAGCATGACACGGGTTGGAACTTACCATATAACCATCTGTTCAGGTGCATGGCACGGTGCAGCATGTACTCCCACGCGTCCATGATGACTATGGCAGCACTGAACTGGATGGCAGGTATGGCATACCAGTACGCAAAGCTAGCCACGGCCATCTCCCAAGAAGCAAAGGCGGGGACGAGAGTCTGCTCGCCCGCAACTGTCGCTGTCTGCAGCAGCGCGGGGTATTTGCCTCCGATGACAACGGAAGAAAGTATCGGCTGTGAGGTAGCGACCTTGGAAGCCAGCGCGATCGGGTTGACGCCTACCGCAGACAAGACGTAAGGAACCGCGCGCTGGGCAAGTCTAAGCTTCTGCGCGTACCAAGCCACATCGTACTCGGCTTTGCCGGTTGTCGGCGCCTCGTCGATTAAAGAAAGGCTGAAGGATGCGAGAATCTGAATGACTTGCTGGAGTATGACGTCGCGCAGCACTTCGTAGCGTGAAACATGGTTGCGCTTCAGAACCTCTGCTGGCGTGTGCAGCCGATACTGCGGGAAGAAGTCGTACACGTCAATGACGTGGAAAACCAGGGAGACAACCCAGTATCCGACGACAGGCAGTGCGGCTTGTATGAATGCATCGGAGACCCACGATGTGAGAGGCTGAAGGGGCTTGAGGGTGTATTCGGGAAGCGGCGGGAGGTCGTAGGACGTGATGTTTGCGCTCGCCATGATGCGGCAGCGGTGCGCTAGGAGAGCGGATTATCGATTGCAACTGTATGTATGCGAGACTGAGGAGTTGCGCAGCGCAGCCGGCGAAGACGTCGAAGGTGCAGCGTACTCGAGGCGAGATCGCGGTGCTGGGCCAGCTATGGGGTGACAAAGACGGAGCCGGAAGCCGCGGACCAAGGAAATTAGGGAGAAGGCGCGATGCGACGGACGAGTGATGTCGGTATTCGTGCTGGAGGGCGGACGGCGCGCAATTGACCAGTCGAGCTCAGAAAGGAGAGGCTGAGGTGGGCGGAGCGAGGGTTGGGTGAAAGTCGTGTGAGAGTGGTGCAGCAGCGTGCCTGTGACAGCACCAAGGCATGACGGGGGTTTACGATATACGCGCGCATCATGACATTTCGCCGCCGGGCGCCCGGGCGGGCCTAGTCGCTCAGCCACTTCCACTTCCACCCCTTGCGGTTAGCGCGCTTTTCACACCCAATTTTCGACCCCACCAATTTCTCCTTCACGCCTACAGGCCAGCGCTTCTTTTCCGCTCCAGTCTTCAACCCCTCGCCTGCCCGCCCCGACCAACGTACACTCTTTCCACACATCCCCAGACCCTACTTCCCTCTACCGCCAACATGATCATTTTCAAGGTACGTTGTGCCTGCGCTGGGTCGCTCTTACCTGCGCCCTACCCCGCCTTCCCTGCTGCACTTGATGCTGCTTTGCGCATGCAAAGAGCCTCTTGTCTTCTCCACTAGTCGCGTAGTACTGACTTCTTCCAGGACATCATCACCGGTGACGAGATCATCTCCGACTCCTACAACCTCAAGGAGATCGACGGCGTCGCCTACGAGGCCGACTGCACCAAGATCACTGTCGGAGGAGAATCATTCGGTGGGTACTGCCAAACGAGATGAGGATCTGGCAGGCTAACGACGTGTAGACACCGGTGCCAATGCTTCCGCCGAGGAGCAAGAGGAGGGAGCCGACGACCAGAAGGAGACCAAGATCGACGTCGTCTACTCTTTCCGCCTGAACGAGACCGGCTTCGACAAGAAGGGCTACCTCACATACCTCAAGGGTAAGAACGCTAGGGCAAAATCCTCCAGACCCAGGACTAACGATAGACAGGTTACATGAAGTCAGTCAAGGAGGCCCTCAAGAACAAGGGCGCCGACGAGGCTACAATCAAGGACTTTGAGAGCAAGGCCTCCGGTTTCGCCAAGAAGATCATCGGCAACTTCAAGGACTATGAGTTCTACACTGGCGAGTCCATGAACCCCGACGGTATGATCGTCCTCCTCAACTACCGCGAGGACGGTGTCACACCCTACGTTACCGTCTGGAAGCACGGTCTCGAGGAGATGAAGGTCTAAGTCCAAGAGGACTTGGCTATGGGAAAGACGAGGCTTGGTTCACGGTTCATTGAATTCACGATTACCTATTGCATGTTTGGGAAATATCCGCCATAGTGCGAAAAGCGGAATGGCACAAATCTAGACGATCTTAAGGAGCCGTACACGATACAGCATATTATTCTCTACCCATGCTACAACCTGCCCTCTAACACCTGTGATGGGGCTTGGTGGAGGCGACTATAAATGGTGAAATGTCGAGTATCAAGCAAGTCTCGCGGCGATGTCAGAATCAGTATCGGACCATATCCAGGGCTGGCACTTGAAATTTCGCCTAACTCAGCTTGGTGAAACATCTCATCGCGTGACCACGCGATACCGCGTATGTGCACAGACCATAGGTTTCATCACCTAGCAACAGCAGCCTCAGGCACACATTTAGCAATCCTCAGCCTTCCGCGACTCACCCCGCTATATCATTACGTCCTGAACCTATTCATTCTTCTTTTTTGTCGCCGCGATCCTGCCAATCTTACTGTCGCATGAAGTCCAAGGTACGAAGGAACATTGTTGCCCCGCGTCATGACGGGTAACGGTGGTCCCGCCGTTTCGCTACCGGCAACTCCGCGCCACCGCTCTGGAGCAGCCCTCAACGAGCTGATTTGCTCGCTGGAAAGACAGTGGAACATCGGTCTTAGGCTTCGTGGTAATGGATGGTCACCAAACAAAGCCATCCCGAGCGATGCGGCCGACAAGGTCAATGCGCTTATCCAATTCCTCTTCTACAGCGCACCGACGGCGCTCGAAGAGGCGATTGAACAATTCAAGGGAGACGCCCCTAGTTTGACGCGTGAGGAGCGCTTGGAAAAGCTTCGTGAGATTCTGTCCCGTGTTAAAAAGGGTGAATTGGAGTCGAAGGGCAGGACGCCGAGGAATGAGCCGCCTAAAGTGCGGGCGACACCCTTTAGTGGTAAGTACAAACTTGCTTTTTAAGTTTCCTTCAGAATTAGCGCGTACATTTCTTCCATGACGGTAGACTATATCGGTGCATGATGGGGAACCCATATATCTTGCGGACTCTGTGATAGAGATGGTCCACGTTATGCCTTCCTCGAATTGTAATTGCTTCGTGGGTCGGACTGTCAGCATGAAGCAATTCCGTCATCATGTCAGCTACCATTCTTGATGCATATCAACGAATGCATATTGTTTGCGTAAATAGTAAATTAGTCAGACTGTAGCTCATCGGGACTGGACTGGGAGAATGTCTTTGCAATAGCTAATACAAAGACAGGGGCCAAGCCTACCTCGCAAGTAACAACTAGCTTGCATGATGTTCAGCACGACGAACATGAGTCTTGTGCTACTGCTGATCCAGGATCACCCACAGACGTTGACACCGACGATGAGACGGATCAAGAATACGAAACACCGCGATCACCGTCCCGGTCGCCGTCACCATCACCCTCTCCATCCACTAGGTTAGGACAGACGCTCTTTCAGGCAAGTAACCATGCCTCTTTACATGTCTCTAAGAAACGGCCATCTGAAAGCTCCAACCATTCCGACAACTCGCAGAAATTGACCAAAACCTCGAAAGGGAAACAGGCTGTCAAATCCTTCAACACTTCGCCGATTCCACCACCGCAATTTGACTTCAAGAAGCCAACACTCGATATGGCTCGGTCTTTCCAACCCGTAAATTCCGTTTCATCTTCGGTCAACACCTCCTTCAACAACACCACATTCTCCTCCCAAGAGACAGCAAATACAACAAACACTTCATTCACCTCGTACGATGGCGCCATCGAGTTACAGGAGAATAGGTTCTCTAGGCCCCAATTGAAAAGGACGAGTTCGACTACAATCGGTTCTCTGGATGATGTGGAGCTTGACCAGGCTATGTTGTATCCCGGGAGCGAAGTGCGTGAGAAAGATATACAGCAAGACCTGAACGAACACTTTACTCAAGGGAGTAGCGGTCAGAACAGATCTACTTATGGCTCTGTTGATGAGACTGGTCTTCTTGAAGCATCTTTCGAGGTTGAAGAGAAGGAGACCGACCCGCGAGTAATCCCACATGACAAGATGGAAAGTTCCAGACCACCCGCCGTTGTTGACAATCGCCATGGGCAATTCCGTGCATCATCGACGCCACGGTTTCGATCTAACGGAGTTCCAAACGGTCAAGAGAAATCGCCGGCTGCTGTGCAATCTCCCTCGAAGATACCACACGAGATTCGCGATCTACCTACCCAAAATCTCTTCGTGGACGCGCTCCCACCAGGGCTAGAACATATCCCATACCATATCTTGTTCATCTGCGAACGTCTAGCGATAGACCACTCAATCTCAATCTTGGACCTGGTAAGCGGTATGGATATCGCTACTGTATCCTCCGATGCAGAGGCGTTTTGGTCTTTCATTGACGAACATCGGAAAATACCGCGTATGAAGCTGCGGGAGTCAAACCGTCTCTGGCAAGCTGCGAAACGCGACTTTGATGGGTTCACTTTCAGAGGACACATCAATCTCAGCCCCAAACGCACTGGCCCGATTCTAAACCTTACATTGTTACCAGTACAATCGGATCGATCATGCCGACTAGAGCGAATGTTTGGCTCCGACCGATTTCTCTACTTATACACGCCAGTCTTCGACTTCTCCGAAACAAATCGTTTCACGGGTGAGCGGCTTCAACAAATTTGCAATCAATTTCAAGCGTGGCTACTCACAGAACACCACTTCTTGAACCGCAAGTGGAGAGTCTTCCATGTTGAAGATGTGAAGAAGCCCAAGACCGCTCGACCCAAGGACATGGTCTATGACAAAAGGATCGTGCTGTTCGCCACCGAAGGATGTGGAATTGAGCAACCCTATTCAGTGGGTCAAATGCTCGATCGATTCCTACCATTCCACATCAACAGACACCAAAGCTTTTGCAAAGCCTTCGCTCGTATTGAACTGGGGCTTTCTCGAACCACCCCTACGTTGTGCTTTGAGACGTCACAAATCATCCACGTGGATGACGACTTGGCCACAAACGATCCGGAGGACACTATGTACAATGACTCGGACTTAGAGTGGCAGGCGATTCCGGATGGCTCGGTCATGAACGATGGATGCTCAGTTATCTCCGTTGGCGCTGCATTAGCCATATGGCAGCTATACAAGAAAACAAATGGGATGAAGGGACCTTTGCCCAGTACATTCCAGGGACGCATTGGCGGAGCCAAGGGACTTTGGATGATTAGCGCGGAATCCTACACCAAAGATCCGGAGCATCTCAAGCACTGGATCAAGATCAACAGGAGTCAGTGGAAGTTTCATCCACCCGCCGACGATTTAATGCATCATCATCGAACGTTTGAGGTCTCCAACTTCAGTTCTCCGCCTTCACAGTCGGAATTGCATATATTGTATATACCCATTCTGGCCGATCGAGGCGTGAAGAAAGAAGTTATTGCTAGTCTCATGGAAGAGCGACTCGAAAGCGAACGCGAGAAGCTGCTACATTTACTACCAGATCCAGTCAAGGTCTACGAATGGGTTCACCAGAACGGTACGAAGACTCAGGCTGAACCTGACTGGCAAGCTGCACTGCCGGTATCCTTAGAGGAAAAGTTGAAGTTCTTGCTCGAGGCGGGCTTCGTACCTACCAAGTTTCCCTACCTTGCCAGAAGTCTCGAACGCTTTATCCAGACAAAGCATGTCTTCCAGGAATCCAAGCTACGTGTGCCTCTCGCAAAGTCCGCGTACTTTTATGGAATAGCAGATCCTTTTGGAGTCTTAGAACCAGGAGAGATTCAAGTACAGTTCTCCTCCTCATTTGTCGACGAGGATACCGATGAAAAGTACCTCTGCCTTGGAGACATGGAAGCTCTCGTCACTCGTCAGCCTGCCTGTCGCCGCTCGGATATCCAAAAAGTCCGCACGGTCATACGACCTGAACTGTCGCATCTGGTCGACGTAGTGATCTTTCCTTGCAAAGGCCGGTTCCCACTAGCTGGGAAGCTACAAGGAGGCGATTACGATGGTGATATGTTTTGGATTTGTTGGGAACCTAAACTTGTGCGCCCTTTTCGGAACGCTCCAGCGCCAATGACTACACCCAAGCCTGCGAAATACGGCATAGAGACACGGACTGAGAAGCTCGAAGATATCATGAACACCAGCGAACCTGAACAGGTGGACAACTTCCTCAGTAAAGCTTTCGAGTTTCGTAACAACTCCTCGCTGCTTGGTCTAGTCACCACTTTCGCAGAGAAACAAGCATACACCGAAAACCGCATTCATTCTCAGATACTTGAACGACTGTACGATATGCATGATTTGCTAGTCGATGCGTCTAAACAGGGCTACGTATTCACGCAGACGAAGTTTGATAAGTATGTAGCCAACTTGAAACCAAGACAGCCGCGATATAAGGAAGAGATGAAAAAGTGCGCCAGCAAGGGGGACTCAGCAGGTGTTGAGAAAATCCGTAAAGCAGATCGGCGAGTTCGATCTAACCATATAGTCGATTACCTCTACTTCGACATCGTAAGAGCACACAACATCGAGACAATGAGTCGAGTCAGGTCCGTTCTCTCGGAAGCTATTGAGCTAGACGACGCGCTTTTGTATCCAATTGATCACCTCGCCAAGAAGGGATCGGAGACTATTAAGCAAGAAATCCTCTCTCTGACAAGAAAGCTGGACGACGTCAATTGTACTTGGAATTCCGGCTGGCATGGTGATGTGAGCACGACGGAGCGGCTAAACGCTGTTGTAAACAACTGCTACCAGAAGTTCCAGGCTATACAGCCCGAATACCCGGACGACACTGATATCCGGCCTCTGCTTGATGATTACCTTACGCCCGGTTCATGCATGTGGGACACCATCAAGGCATCAGCATTATATGCACAGTTCAAGAGGCCGGAGAAATCCAGTTTCGTTCTGAAAATGGCAGGACGAGAGCTTGCGAGTCTCAAGGCAAACAGCTCTGAGAAATCCAGAGCTATAGTCTCGTGTATACGCATGAACATGAAGCCGAAACCAATCAAGGCACAGGTTCAGTACGAAGAGGAAGAAGAAGACGACTTTCAGACCGCGCTCGAGGAGCTCACCTTGTAGTTACCTCCAGGTCGTACGGAAACGGTGTTCATCTTACGACGCTTTCACGTATCGGCCACCTCTCACTTTGGCACCATACACACATTATTCGCGCAGGATCATTACAGTTATTTGGGTGTTCAGGAGCGCTTATACAATCATTTCGACAGGGTCTTGATCTTTCCACCAGTGTTCGATCCACTGTATTTACTCATTGGGTACTCGAAACATCATTGCACCATCCATGGTTGCCGTTGCAATACCATGTACAAATCAACGTCTCTGGAGTCAGTCCAGGAGTCTCACTGAGCCATTCATAGCCACATCTTTTTAGATGTTGGCACAAACGTAGTATTAGGAGGAGGAGGACGAAGAAGGAAGGAAAATGAAGACATTCCGGTTGAGAGTCTGAAGAGATGTATAGAGGGGGTTAGAAGATGGAAGTGGAGGTATAATTCGGGGTCTGCTCCATGTCACTCATTTGTCTCTCTTCCGATGATCGTAGCTCCAAGCCAGTTCATTGTGATTTCGCTCCTTGCTCACAATTCGGTGCTTTTTATACTCTTCTACTCGATCGTCATATGCATAGCTTTAAATGATATAGACCTACACGTGATGAATATGCAGAAGCGCACGCATCAACCAGTGCTTGTCGCTTTGAGCAATAATTGGGTATCTTTAAAAACATCCACGACTCTCCAGTACATCTTTAGCACACGGCTCACCCCATCGTAGGAGCAGCTGCTGCAGCCTTGATCTTCAGATTCCTCCTCTCTTCTTCTCTCCGCGCTTCCACACCAGCCAAAAACTCCATACGACCCAGATAGGCTTCCTTGGTCTTTCCATGTGTATCCAATTCCTCTGCGATGCCCTCTTTGTCCACGAAGCCTGTCCAGTCCATGCGCGATTTGTCCACGACATTGAGCTTCTGCGCCTTCTCGACCTTCTTCGCGACCGATATGTCTGTTTCTGGCGGAATTTCCTGCTCGCGTTGTAGATCGGCAGCGGCGGCACGGGGCCAGAAAAGTTGGTGTTCGGGTGCGAGGGCGCGGACGTAGCCTGTAGGGTTGGGGTCGAATCGGGATGGACGGCGGAGGGGACGACGGATCTTGGGTCCACTAGACTCGGAGGGATCTTTGGGGGACTCTGTCGTGGGTATTGTTGCTGCGGACGCATCGAGTGTCTTCCATCCATCTTTGAGGTATTTGTCGAGCTGCGAGCGTGGAAC